GGCTGAATTGAAATTAAGATGTGGTGGTGTATTTAATTATGGCAAAGCACACTAGGGTTATCTGCGTAATAGGTGTGATGCCTTCGTGGAGGACTTTCTCAGGGAAACTGGCTCGTATACACGTTACGCATGAGGAAAACTACGAAAATACCCACGCAGCCAGCCCGTTCGCGGGATTCGGACCGAACTACCAGTGTTCAGCGACTTTACCGCTCGGCCGCTGGTGGGCCGAAACTAAGATGTAGGGCAAGTTTATTATTATTATTATTGTGCGTATATGTGTAAGAAAATGTATTTTAATTGTTCCATTTTTAATGTATGGAAGGAATAATAGGATGCCAATATCGAAGATTATTTACTATAGCAAATAATCACGTCAGGATAAATGTTATATAGAAATCTTAGGAGTGTAAGGGATTATAAGAGTACTTTTAGATTATACTGAAAATATACGCACTTCTGCTAAAATCTGAAGTGAATCAGTATGAAGTGACTTTTCACTTTAAAAAGAATGTGATAAGTATACTATTTAAAAGTATAATGACGGATATTAAGAAATTTGTAGAATTTTATGGTATTTAAATATGAATTAAGTCAAATCTTTTTATATATTTTTTTGCTTGAGATATGTAATTTAAACTGAAAATCACGATCATATATTTCTCATGGAATGTCTAAGTTCATTTTTATTAAAAAAAGTGCATGAGCAATGAAAGTAAATAGAATAATACTTTTTGATTATGTTTTTACCATGGTCTTAGCAGTTATGCCATCATGTGTTCTGTTTAACAAGATTTATTTAGTGCAAAAAATACTACGAAAAAAATATTGAAAAATACCTTGTTTTACAATATTTATTTCCCTTAATTAACTTAAATATTGTTTTTCATTCTCTAATGCTTTCCTTTACGAAAAAGAATTTAATGTTTACAATTATTTTCAGCATTCGTCGTACGAATTCTATGCATAAAATAAACATTTTCTTTAACAAAATACTTAATCGGAAAGTATATACCCGGTATTTCCGGTGTATCTACCACATATAAAATGATCATTTTGCTTTAGTTTACATTTTTTCCATTACCAAAATCATGTAGCAGACGCATCGGCCGATGCGTCTTGTCTCCCGGGTGACGTCACTACCAGCAACCAATGGCACGCTTTTTTCGTTCCTGGCCTAACCTTAGTATATTAAAGAACCTTGGCTGTCTATATATACCTGATCTCAATCCTCTTCTTCAGACCTTGCCACATTTGCAAATGCTTTGCAAGAGCAATGGCTGTCACTTCATACATAGCTGATAGACCGCATATTTGACAGCATCATACATCGCTGCATATGCTGTATTGCTTCTAGGGGAGATATACTCCAAACTGAATGTAATTTTCCTATACCAAACTAGCACATCCGAACTGATCATTTTATACTTATGCTAATTTCTATAACACCATAATTGTCTGGTAATTTCTTTTCATGTTATTTTATACCTTAATATATACTGTATACATAGTGGTGGTGGTGGTAGTGTATTTAATTATGGCAAAGCACACTAGGGCTATCTGCCTAAGGGGAGGGATGCCTTCGTGGAGGACTTTACGAAAACGCTCATGCAGCCAGCCCGTTCGCGGGATTCGAACCTCGGACAGAACTACCAGTGTTCAGCGACTTTACCGCTCGGCCGCTGGTAAGCCTGTATACATAGTAGCTATACATATTGCTCAGTTTCATTAAATTCTACGTGTAAAAAAAAACTTTTTGAGTACTTGTCATTTTTGTGATTTTCCTTTTATTAATGTAATATTATGCAAGTATCATCTTACAGTGTTATTACGTTCTACATGGATATTGAAATTGTATTCTACTTGGATATTGAAAACTGCATAACTTTGAAAACTGTCAATATACATAAGTGTTCTTAATTTTTGTTTCCGAAATAAAATGGTTAGTGGTAATCAGTTATTTAATAAACTAAGCCTGCTGTAGAAAATAAAATTTTAAAGTGGACCCCATTAGGAAGCCCACTTATCCCTATTTCCAGTATACCCCACAATTGCATAAACCGACCTTGTTTCCGCTCATCAACAGTTATTGTTGCGCTGAATTCTCTTCTGAAGTCAGCGCATTATATTATGACTTTTAAAAAATATGGAAGTTCATCATCCTGTGCCTCAGAAAACATATTCGTTTACAATCGAGAAGGGTAACCAATATGGCCTTTAGTTTAAATTTCTGAAACCGAACTATCTATGGCCATCAGCTTCTCCAACTCAAGCAAATGACTGCCATTTGTCTCAGCTTAACAAAGCCCCAAGTTTTAATTTATTTGAAAAAAGTCGGGATCAATGTCTACCATGTTTAAACCAAATCACGAAATTCAGTCTTCTTTATACTCTGCAGTGAATACGTGAAAGACAAAATGAGAACATTTTTTTAAAACTTTTTCCACAATATTTTTCGGTCTTTTTTTTTTTTTTTTTTTTTTTTTTTTTCCAGTCCAAAGGGATTTGAATACCGAAGGACTATTAGTTTCGTTTTGGCATTTTGCGTCGGACTCATAAATGTCGGTTCACTTTTCAAACTGTTGCCACAAAATGTTAGAGTCCTGCATTATATTTGAAGAAATTAAATAATGAAAAATCTGCATAAATGTATGTATATTTTTCGTATTGTGATAAAACAACGGTACATAGAGTCATCGAATTTTGAATAACGTAATCCTCCAACGAATATGAGCATGTGGAAGACCAAATTTGAAATTTGAAATTTGTTTTATGATCGATTTCCTATTTTTTAAAACTTTGACGAATTTTTGATTAACAACTCAAGGATTTCAAAGCGAGCAATGGCAACGTTGTGCAGAAAAAACATTTTTTTATCTCCAGCGCGTGAGTCTCTGTATCGGAAATTCTAAAGATATGCTCGTTTTAAAACTATTTTGCGATATTGCTGTTGCACTGGATCTTATGGTTTAAGTGCGAAGAACATGATATTTAATAAAGAAAGGTAACACACAAAATGTTAAAAAACGCCCGGACGTAATTTAAAATCTGAAACATTTCAGATTTTTTTTTTTTTTTTTTTTTTTTTTTTTTTTTTTTTTAAACTCATCAATTATAATTCGAAGAGCCAGATGACGATTTTTCAGCTACAATTTTTGAACTTTGTTCATGCTCTCATTCGTTGGACATTGCCACCACTCCCGGGTTCATCATGAAACTGTTCATACCAACGAAAAATATTGAACCATGCTAATGCTCTACACCTTGCGACCACCAAAGTAATAGAAAAAAATCAAAAACCTTTACCTTTAGGGTGCTTCTAAATATAGGGCCGACATATGATTATTATCCAGTTTAAAGAAACTAAAGACATCAACTCTGATCAAATAATTTTTGACTAAAAAGTAATACTAACCATTTTATTTACACTCATTTATACACACAGTATCCAAATCTTCTGTTCTTATCTGCAGTCAAAAGGAAATTGTTGATAGTCCTCTCGTCAGTTCTTCTCTAGATGGCGCTGTTAGGGGGGAGTTAATAGTTTTAATAATACCAGTGATTCTTAAACTGTAATCTGAGGTTCGCGGGGGTCCGAGAGTCAATAATCAGCGGTTTTGCAAGAGAGTGCAAATTTAATTTGTTATTTGATTTCATTTAAAAAAAAATAATTTTCCCCCAATGGCGAACTCAAGTCGTCGATTTCCCCAATGGCGAACTCAAGTCGTCGATAGACGTTGGTCCTACTAAGGCCGGATGTGGTGGTCACTTTATTATGGAGACATCTAACAGGTGAGCCACCGTCTCCTTCTATGAAGGGACTGACAAAGTACATGCATGCCTTATTCGGGATTCGAACTCGAGCCCTTCCGTACGAATGCCAGAATCACTCACCACTTTTCCATCTGGGTGGCTGAAAAATATAATAAAAGAAATTACAATAATTAATAAATAGGGTTCCGGCAGAATGTTCTTCATGTAAAAGAAATCCAAGAATTTGTAAAATTTAATAATCTCTGCTTTGTGCAACATTTCAAATATTTCAATTACTGTTTTTTTCCACTTTAATTCATGTTCCTTACTTAGCGTTTAAATCCATGACAGATGTTCACTATGTCAAAGCAAATTATTAATTGCGTAGAAAATTCTGGGATTATATTTCAGGAAAAATAAAGTGAGAATAATAAATGTTGTCTTGCTTAGCAATTCCCTGGATTTTTTTTTTAGCTTTAGTCCTAAAACAGATCTGTCTCTCACACATCTCCTTAGAAGGGCAATTATCCTTAATAAATTAATGAAATAATTTAGAAGTCACTACACTATATTATAATAAAGAAGCATATTAATTTAATAACTTTTTCAATCAAGTGTAACTCTTAGCTCTTTAGTTTTATTTTGAAAACCGTAGGAGTAATATTTATTATGAATTATTATATTTTTTTAAAAAACGTATCCTTTTTCTTTTTTAATTTAAATGCACGTTTACCGTGTATATTTCTTTCATCTACTTCATAGTAAAAGTAAATTTTTACGCCATTCATAGTTATTGTATTGCATTTTGTAGTAAACATATAAAATTTTCCTTATGTTTAGTTTGATAGTTAATTCATTATATTTGGTCAGGAAAATTAAATTTGAGTTTCAGTGAAAACTATACCATTGTTTCGGAGTGCAAGATCTTCAGAATGCATAACCACTGCATATGATATCCATGTCTGTTATGAGGCACTTTTAATGTAATTGAAAAACAGATGTCTTTAAAATTCATTTAATAAACTTTTAAAATATACATACAAAACATTTGTTCTAATTTACTGTGAAAAACACATACTCCAATACTTCATATCTAGAGTTTCTAGTTTATTGTCTATAAAACATAAATAATAAAATCCTTTGCCTATGAAATATTTTACCCCTAAGAAAATTTGTATTCAGTAATGTATCTCGGATACTTTGTACAATATTTATAAATTGTTTTAAATTAATTTACTATTTCCTATTCATCGTGTCTTATTCCTTGTTAAAATTAAACGATGTGTTTGACTATCATTATTAGTCACTGCATAAGATGAAGTGTCAGCTGCTTGCACTTGTTTTTCACCCTTTAAAACATTTGCTCCATGACACGCATTAGTGGAAATGCTTGTCTTTCCTGGAATCTTTGGACTGTTGCTGTCTGAATCTAAATGTACGCAGTCGTGCTTATCTGGTGAACTAGGAATGTCAGTTGACCCAGATTCACCACTATTAGTAGATTTCTTCTCCTTTGGTAGAAAACTTGATAAAGGAATGGGTATGGGTATAGGAACTGGAAGAGGCACAAATATGGGATAGGGTAACATGACAGTATTAGGATGCATAACAGTGCTTGAGTTAGGAGGATGTGGTGTCCCACGTGTAGCTGGTAACATGGATTCATGGAAGAGATGAGGTGGCAGGGGAACACCGTGCCTCATACTCGATTGCATTCGTAGAAGGGCATCCAACTGCTGTTGCTGTGACAGAGGGTTCATAGGTGACTGAAAAAGTGAAGGATTGAAAGGTGAGTGCATGAAATCATTGTTCAAAAGAGGAGGAGGTGGAGGCAATCCTGGTGGTAAAAGTGAACCCGTTATTGCAGGATGCGGTTGAAGAGTATTTGTATGAGCAGCAGGTGGATTTAATGGCGAAGGAGAGGTTGTGTTAAGGGTTGGCGGATAAGGAGAAATCGACGAAGGAAAGACTCTGTTTTGATTTTGCAGTGACAGCGGAGGGTGCGCTGCTGAAGAGAGATGCGCTGGTGGTGCTTCAGGATGATGAGTCCTGTTTCTCATCGATGAAATGCGTTGTCTTTTTCGTGCATGTTCCCTTTCAGTTTCATGCAATCGTTTCTTACGTTCTAAAATACTTTTATCTCTTTCATCTCTTAAATACGATGCTAAAGTATTGCACTGTTCTGTAGGTTGCCTGTCCCTTATCTGTGAATTTTTGCGAATTTCATGAGAAATGTCTCTGTCATGTACAGTTGTTGTGTTGCTGCCTGGCAAATTACTGCGGTCTGGTTTTGAACTAACAGTGAGATCTTCGAGTTCAGATCCATTACCAGATTTCTCTGTATTGGAAGGGGTCATTTCATCCTCACTTTGAGATAAACTAGCTGCTCCCCCGCCGTTCACCGGTTCTTGACAATCGCGCAGCCACAAGTCAGGCGTGATTAACTTAGAGCCTGTACCTCCAGGATTTTTATTCGTTTCTTCATGCAAATGCGGATTCATCTGGAGGTAAGCTTGCGTTTCTTTGCAGAAAATCTGCATCTTATATTGATTGAGACACTTGTCACTGCAAAATTGTAGCTGATCATCGCCGTCTTGGAAATCGACATAATTAACAGTGTGCCGTACGTGCCTACACCAGTTACAAACACGATTTTTCTTGAAAGCTGCCCTTCGACACTGATTGAAGCAAGGCTCGCTACAGAACACTTTAGTTTCACCGGAAGAAGTTTTTAAAGTGAAAAGTTTTAGACCAGTTTTCAAGCACCAGGCACAAATGATGGTCCCGCCATTTGTATTTGTCGCCTTGGCCGATTCTGAAAAGGAGTAAATAAAATTAGATTATGCGTATATAATCGAAATAGTTATAGTCATTAATGTACTAAAATTTGATGTAATGCTACTGTTTTCTGTTGAATGAATAATGATTTTAATTATATTTAACTACTACAAGTTTATAATGTACTTTCAAAGAATCTGTCGATTTATTTAAGTAAAGAATAAAACAATATTGAAATGCATTAAGAGTAGAGCAATTTTATAAAATCACGTTAATTTACACTGGTGACCATTCAAAATGCAGCACGAAGAAGGACAAGAGATATTAAATACAAATTCATTTTAGAGATTACACATCGTATTAATGTTAATTGATCTGAAATACATCATTCTTTGAGTTGAAGAAGACAAGAAAATCAGTAATGAGTGTTGCCTCCACGTTTGTCAATAATCGCTACTACACCGCGCGAGTGAAAGAGACTTTGGATGTGTTACCTGGGGAACGGCAACCCATGCTACCTCCACACGTAGCCAGAGTATATTTGGTGTACCCCCGCGGGCGCAGCATGCGGGCCAAGCGTTCTCCTATGATTGACCAGACATGTTCGAAAGGCGATAGACAATAGATGGGAAGAATGAGCATGCCAAAGTAACCATGCAATGTCTAAAAAGAAAAGAAAAAGCTTGAACATTGACTGCAACGTGTGGTCGCAGGCCAACCTTGAATGTAAGGAAGGAGAAGAGGCTTCAAACCCTCAGAGATATAGCTTTGACTGGTAAGTATATCGATAACGCGTACTAGGGAAGTGAACGAGTGGAATCCAATATCACCGCACACCATAACACCCGGTGCAGGATCAGTATGACGATGCGATAACATAAGAGTCGAACAGCCTCTTTCCACGTCGTCTCCAAATTTAATCTCACCATCGTGATACTGCAGGCAGAAGCGTGATTCGTCCGAAAACACAATACCATGCCATTCGAATGTCCGTCTCCGACGTTCTGTACACAGTTGCAAACGTAAACGCCTGTAGTTTAAAGCTAAAGGCAAGCGAAGGAATGGAGTTTAGCAGACAGTGCATTGTGCTAAAAACAACGTCGAATTGTTCGTGCAGACACTGATTGTTGTGTTATAGACTGCATTCGTCGTGATATGATTGCGGATGTGGCAGTGCGCTCCATCAGTGCCATGCTCACAATATGCCTGTCTCTCTCTTGGAGTGGTGCAATGAGACGGTTGTAATTGCTCCTGTCTGTTAGTCGTTGTCTGCTGCATCCACCAATTCCATATTCGCATGACTGTTGCTTGGCTACGTCCGACACGATAGCCGATTTCCCAGGAGGATAATCCGCAATCTCTGTATGCAACGATTCTGTTTCGATTAAATAACTAAGTGAGCATAATTTTATCATATATTTTGAAAATTATTTCCTTAATCACTTGCGCTACGACTAAACTTCACGATTGCAGTGCTGTGCGCTACAATATAACAAGCGGTAAAGTGTTTTATTTACACCGCTTCGCGTCTGCGAGTGCATTCCAGAGCTGTAACTCGAGAAATAAACAATCTCGTTGTTAGGCGACGTGTGCACCACGTTATTTTCATTTTTGCGATAAATGCCCATTGACGTGGTGTTCACGTCGCTCGCGGTTTCAAACAAAAGCATCTCGACGTGCGTGGCCCGTCTTTTTAGCGCAAGTGGTTAATTGTAATAATATTTTAAACCAGTTTATTCTTTGTCTTTTTTAATTGATTGATGATTGATTCTAGCAACTAACTTGTTGATTGTTTGATTAACTTGATTTTGTAGATGTAGAAAAATAAATAAATAACATTATGTTAGTTTAAGCGTACAGAACGTTGTATTGTTTCAGCAAAGATCTTATTTTCAGTTTAACGAGCGCCTAGTAGGCAATGTGCAGATTGAGTGCCTAGCAGGTAACGTGCAAAGTGGAGACAGAGGGAAAGGAAACGAGAGAAACAAATTTTTGAATTTTACGGAAACCATTAATGTGCACATTACCTAGGTAAAATGCGGAAAACTCTTGATTCAGCACTTTAACGGAGCAAATCAGTTAATCTGAAGATTAGCTAGGTAATGTGCACATTAACGATTTTCGGACTTTAGCGATAACATAAAATATTACCACAAATATTACGGAAATCATAATCTTAAATTTCCGGAAATGGTGCAAAGATATAGATACAGGATGTAAAAATAAATAAAAGAACATATGATCAGAAAGATAACATGCTGCACATTGCTTACGTATATTGAAATTTTGAATTAATTTTTGAGTGCTGATTATAATAAACTGGAATTTTAAACACATTATGAGGAAAGAAACCACATCGAATAAAATGGAATAGTTTTATTTTTTTATTTTTATATAATAGGATCATTTACTGTGTGATGTTTGTTAATAAAAGGATATAAAGATTACAGAAGATTTCACGTCTCCTCTAAAAATAAATAAATAAATAAATAAAAAATCTCAAACGATTTTTTAGCTCCAACTTAACTGCGGTTTGCCTTTAAAAAAGTAGGCCTTCTATTTATATGTCTAACGGTACACGCTATAAGAACTATTTTCGCTAAAAACAAGGTGTCGAACACTACGTTTTTCTCCAGTAAATAACGGATCAGTTACGCTATAGTGTGACTGATTATTCTAATGTTTATTCTCATTTATCATGCCAGTTAAAAGTCATCAATTATCCAGAAAAAGACTTCACCGATGTGATAAATGAGGAAATGTTAAAGTTAACAGACATTAAAAAATATATCACCGGAATCAAGAGAGTAAGAAAGATAATTTGCGTTCGAAACTGCGACTGCCAGCTCATGGAAGCGCTTAAAAATGCGACTGCCAAAATGGTGGATAAAACTATATTCTTATTATAGTGCAAATTAGAATGAGTTTTACTAAAACTAGGACCAAAAAGAAAAAGGCTTAGAAATTCGGAGCATTTTCATTTATTTTCTACAGTGTCTCACAAAAGTGATGGGACACTTGTGCTTTACAAAAGGAAATTGTAGTAAAATAAATTAAGAAAACATGTAAAAATTTTTTGTGGGTGTGTTTCATATATAAATTTAGTAACAATTATTACATAACATACATTTTCTCAAAATATTAAAATATCGATTTAATAAAAATATAATTGTTTAGAACGGAGCAAAAAATGGCTCAAATAAGTGATGGGACACTTACTTTTCCATCAAATATTTATCCAAAAATTTTACTTTTTAAAAGGTTTTAATATTTTGTTGGATTTCCTTTTACTTTTAAAACATGATTTAATCTTCTTCGGATGGATTCGACTAATTTTTTGTGAATTCTGGAGTGATTTTACCCCATTTCTTCTGAAGCACCGATTTTAATTGTTGTTTTGAAGAAATGGTGTGTTTGCGAATTTCTTGATTCCAATTTTGCCAAATATTCTCTATGGGATTTAAGTCTGGAGATTGTGTGGTGGTTGTTTTTATTATTTCAGGACAGTTATACAGCAGCCAGAGTCTAACGTTCAAAGCAGTGTGCTTGGAGTCATTATCCTGGTATAATTTAAAATCGTTATGAAGGTTCAATTTTCGTGCTGAAGATTTCAAATTTTGATGTAAAATGTCATATACATGTACTGATCCATTATACTGTCAAAAAACAAGATTACCAACTCCAGCGGACGACATACACCCCCCTACCATAACTCCTCTCCACCATGTTTTACTGTTGGCACCAAGTTCTGTTTGCGAAATTTCCCTGGGTTTTCTCCACATGAAGATTCTACCGTCAGAACCAAATATATTAAATTTACTCTCATCAAATAACTTCATTCCAGCAATCAGAATTCTTATTTATGTGGATTTTGCGAAAGCCAGTCTGAGTTTTTCTTTTCTTTTCACTTACGAAAAATTTTTTCCTGGCTGCTCTACCATGATATCCAGCAGATCGAATACTCTTCTAATAGTCTCAAGATAACAATTACTCCATATAATGCTTGTAAATCAGCAGCAATTTTAGGAGCACTCATTCTTGGATTTTTTTTTTTTTAATATTTCGAACAATAATTCGCTCTATTCCATTGGATAGTTTTGATGGTCGGCCAGGTCTTCTTTTATCCTGGATCATATGATTCTTTTTATATCGTTTAATGATATTGAAAACTGTTGAATGACTCAAGTTAACTGTTTCAGAAGTTTCTCTAATAGATTTTCCACGTTCAATATGCAAATTAATAACAAATTTTCGAATTTCAAGCAAAGTGTCTTTTCGTTTAGCATTCATGGCTGCACAGAGCTAAAAAACACAAAAATTCCAAAAACAAACCGGAGAGAAATACTGCAGACGATTTTATAAATTATTGCCAATTGCTTTTAAGTAAAATAAAAACCCAAAAAATATTTTATGTAGTACGTAATAGTATCTAATGGTGTCCCATCACTTTTGTGAGTCATTTTTTGCTCCGTTTAAAAACATTGTATTTTTTTAAATTAATATTTTGATATTTTGAGAAAATGTATGTTATGTAATAATTGTTACTAAATTTAAGTATGGCGTGATCGCTTACAATACAGCAGAATTTTCTAAGAAAACTTCGAACATCTATACAGGATGTATCAGTACAGGTGACAGGTGAGAGCAGGTCCGGACACCCAGACGGCTTACATAGATTAATCGGGTATCGTCCGGATCCCGCTACTATCTGAAGCTACACTCCGAAAACAATACAAGGGCAAAATATAGATTTTTCTGCATTCAGAATTAAACATTTTCCTGGCTACATCGCATATTAACACATTGCTATACATGGTGTATCAGTACAGCGGTGACAAACTTTCAAGAGCGACAGAATATACCTATAGACGATGGGAAATCACATAAGAATGCATGGTCGGAAACGCTTTCCTGGCGTAGTAGTGACGACTCAAAAGTCAAGAAAGAAAGGACACGAACAGGTGCGAAACAATGTTTATTATTCGGTTATTCGGAGTTAAAAAAAAGGGGGGAGAGAGACAATGGTCATCATCAAAGAAGGTGTTCGAAATTACAACTCGGACCGTGAAACCGTGCGTCATGCATCTCCCATGCGAAAGAAATGCCAGGAAAGCGTTTCTGACCATGCACTATGTTATTTCTCATCGTCTAGGTGTACTCTGTCTCTCCTGAAAGATCGTCACCGCTGTACTGATACACCCATAATTACAGGTATGTTCAAAGATATATAGCGCAGTCTTGCTTACATTTCGTGGTTAGGTGTGCGTGTGTACATATATTGTACATATATTAAAGAATTTAGTTCGCACGATATGGCAACAGCTTAATTTGTGTGACTTGTTCATTCTAAATTTGAGCCAAATGAAAAAAATATGATTTGAAAGATTCTTTCATTTGCTATTAAAATTAAATCGTAAAAATAATGATTGATGCAAATTAGATTATTTGAATATTGCAAAGTACAAGAGGATATATATATATATATATATATAATGTTGTATGAACTTAAATCCATTTAGTGCGAATACAAGTTATTATTACTTGCGCAATTGCTGCAAAGTTAGTTAATAATAATTTATTTCCTAAACAGTATTGATTAATTGATTATATTATCTCCTAAGTTTAATTAAAGTAGAATTATTTTAAAAGTGTGCATCCATACT